TTGATACCGACGTCCGGGTTGTAGAAGTGCTAGGTCTCTCTTCAGTTCTCCGTTTCTTGGGGGTGGTGGAATAGTTGTTGCAGTCTCTGGCCCTTCTATTTCGTTTAGACTTGAGTCCTGCAAGAAACTTAAGGATTTCAAAATCATTGGGATTATAGTATTTTTTCACCTGGTCGGGACTTGCTTTACAGATTTCCCCTCTCTCGTTTTTAAGATATAAGACTACTCCTTTGATTTCCTGAATTACATAGGGGCCTTCAAACTTTGGAGCTAGCTTTGCCATAAAATTGTCTGGGGCACTTGATAAAGAAAATTTCCGTTTCAATACTTTATCCCCAACTTTAAAATCTGCTTCACGGCGTTTTCTATCGTAATATAACTTTTGTCTATTTCTTGCCGTATCCGAAGTTTTTAAGCGCCTGATCAATTAGTTTTTGCACGTCCTTTTGTCTAAATTCCTGCTCTCTTTGTTGCACAAAGAATAATTTATCTAAAGGCGTAATTAACTTTCTGCCTAAAAATAATTCTGCTGGAGTTTTTCCCGTAGTATCATGATGTGCCGTTCTTAAAGCATAAGCTAATTCATTTATGTAGCCATCCCAGCGCTTGTGATGTGTGCTCACGTAACTGCGAATTATTTTTACTATGTTTTTATTAACTCTTTCTGCTATGTTAGCCTGTGATCTATACGGAACCATTTTGATATGGCGTATGCCAAGTCCATTGCATATGTTTTCAAATATTTGACTAATGAATTGTTTTCCGTTATCGCTAATGACTTTTATCGGTGCACCGTATTTTAAAATGTATCTGTGTAAGAATGCATCTGCGACTGTTTTGACTGACGCGCGTTTAAGTGGAACAATTTCTATCCATTTTGAAAAATGATCTACTATTACTAAAAGATAACGATTTTTATTTAACTCGCTCTGGGGGAAGGGACCAAGGAAGGAGATCTATGCCTAAAATTTCATTCGGAAATGTAGCGCGAATGCTATTTAAGTACCCGGCCGGGCTGTAATTAATATCATTTATTAACTGACATTGATTGCAGGACCTGACATACGCCGTTACTATTTTGTATAATTGCGGGAAATATACCGCCTCGCGTACCCTTTTTATAGTCTTTCTGACCCCTAGGCGGCCCGCTGTTTTTTTTTCGTGCAACTCCTTCAAAATGCTTAATCGAAGTGAGGCTGGGATGACTGGCTTATACTCAAGATTTTCGTTTGTTGTTTTCGTATAGAATAATAAATTATCTATCATTTCATAGTTTTTTGCTCTATTTCTTATCGCATCGATATCTGTATGCTCAAAGCTTTCGGGGTCTTTCAAATAAGCATAGATATTTCCAAATTCAGGATCAGCTTTCAGTTCAGTAATAACCGTATCTCTAGAATCTAAAATTTTTGAAGTCAACACAGCGCATTTAAGTTCATTTCCTTCGTCGTCCAGTTTTATACGAGAAAGTGCGTCAGCTACATTGTTTTCCTACCCGGTTTATATTTATTGTGATATTATATTCTTGGAGTTTAAAGCCCATCTTATTAACCGGGGCGTTAGGTTTTTTCCCGAGTAAAGTCTACCAACAGCCGCATGATCCGAAAAGGATGTTACTGGCGATTGCCGAAATAAACTCGAAATTTGTGTACAGCCATTAATACGGCTAATGTTTCTCTTTCTGTAGCTGTATAATTCCTTTGTGTCTGATTCAACGTTTTACTAAAAAATGCCAGCGGATGGTTATTTTGCATAAGAACCGCCCCACCGCATAGTCTGACGCATCTGCTGCAATTTCCAGGTTTTCGTCCCCCTCAGGGAATTTTTAAACAGGGGCATTAATAAGCGCTTCTTTTAATCTTTCAAAAGCTGTGTTAGCTTCCGCTGTCCACGTAAATTTACTCTTTTTCTTTTGATTACTAAGAGTGGTTCAACAATATTAGCGAAATCTTTTATGAAAGATCGATAGTAAGAACATAATCCAAGGAAAGACGAAAGTTTCTTGGCGGTGTTGGGCGGTGGTTGGTGGAAAATTCTTAATAGCTTTTATTTTTGAATCTTGCGTTTCTATACCCTTTTGCGAAATTTTATAACCGAGATATTTAAGTTCTTTAGTTGCGAACTTGCATTTTGAGGCGTTAATTGTAAGACCGGCCTCTTTTAATAATTTAAAAAACCTGTTCGAGGTCATTAATGTGTTGTTCCAACGTACTACTCGTTATAATTATATCATCTAGATAAATTAAAGTTGATTTTCCTAGGACAGGCTTAAGAAACAATGTCCATAGCTCTCTGGAATGTTGATGGGGCCCCACACAACCCAAAGGGCATGCGTTAAAAATGCATAAGTGCCCGATTTTGTTATAAACGCGGTTTGTGTTATATCTTCGGGTCTCATAGCTATTTGATAGTAGCCAGACGTTAAGTCCAAAGTAGACATATATCTTGTCGATTTGATCTGTCTAATGATCTCGTCTATAACCGGCAAAGGGTAAACTGGAAATTTTGTAATACTATTTAGTTTTCTGTAATCAAAGCAAACCTCCAAGCCCTTTTATCCGAAGGAGGAAACTCGTTCTTTTTCCTACATAGTACGACTGGACTCGCGTACTCACTATTTATGGGCGTTATTATTTTATTCTTAACATCTCCTGAATATGTTCTTCGATGATTAAGTCTTTTTGTTTATCATAGCGATACGGTTTAGTCCTACAAGGTTTTTCGGCATTTAATTGAATCTTGTGAGTCACGATTTGACAGTTTCCTGGTTTTTCTGAAAACAAATGAGAAAAATTACTCACCACTTGCTGTATTGCTTTACTTTCCTGGTCATTCAGATGGCTAAGGTCCAATTCAGGTGTCTCCACAGGTTCCACCACCCTCTGGTCCATCTCCAATACCACGGAACTATCTTGAAAATTTAATTTGGCCCTCGCGGCCCTTAAAAAGTCCATACCTAAAATAAGAGAGTGTTGCAGGTGTTTCACCACAAAAATTAATACTTTGAGATTTTCCTCTTTTACCTGTAAGTTTAATGATAATTTCCCGATGGCAGTGACATGTTTTTCCTTGCGCCGCTATAATTCCGTTATTTGGTTTTAAATAGTCGTATCCTATAAAAATTCTTTTTGAAGAACTTTTCACTCATGAAATTTCCTTCTGCTCCTGTATCGATGAGGGCTTCTACTGGTACATCGCCAACCAGGACTTGTATAATTGGTAGCTGTGAGTTTTTTACGATGACCGTGTTTAAATGTCTATTTGAGGGTTTTTTTAAAAACTTCGGGGTCTGGACCCTCCCTTTCACAGGCCCCTCTAGTCGTTTAAAGCTTTCCTTTCAATCTGTGTCTTCTGGGTACGCGGATGTTTATTTTCAAATTTTCTTTTTGGGCCTTGACCTTCGAGTTTCGATGCGTTAGCTTGATAGTTCTTTCCCCCATATGAGCGATTTCCATTTCTGGTTTCCTCCTTCCTTCGGGTATGTTGAGAATATGTTTCCCCTCTCGCTTTTTCCGCTATTCTGCGATTTTGAAACTTCACCGCCAATTCGAAAAGTTCCTGCAATGTTCTTGGGTTTCTAATTTCAAAGTAGTCTTGAACAGCGGGTAACAATCTTGGTAATATTATTTCAATAATCTCCGCATCGGGTTTTTTTCCATACAGCATATCCGTTAGCTTGATTTTCGTAAAATAAAGTCCGTCAATTCTGCTGTATCCCGTTGATAGAAAACTATATAGCTCGGCTTCCAGCCGTGCGCGATCTTTCACTATGGGGGAAGGCCTTTACTAACGATTTTTTGAAATTTTCAAATGTATACGTCGGGCTTCCAAATTCACCTAGAAGAAATTTTCCTATGTTTTTCCACCATAGCGCGGCCTGTTCTCTTAGTGCTGATGTGGCGATGGCAACTTTTTGTCTTTCAGGAAACAGGGTAGAGCTGAAAGTGGTTTTCTATACCTTCGAGAAATACCGCCACCGAATTTTTTTCCGTCGAAATAGACGTTTGGCTTGATTGATGCTCTCAAAAGTCTGGACCAGGTATCCAAATCCTTCTAACTGAGTTGTCATTTCTTGGTGTTGTCCAGCGGCTTCCATCCAGTTTTCGGCCATTTCAGTTCGATAAGTGTTCGGGCGCCAATATAACGTTGCGCGCCTCCCACTTGCACGCAACCAAGAGGTGACTGTGAAAACTTGTATAAAAGATAGAAGCTTGTGAAGGGTTTAAGTCCCTTTTTATTCAACGTAATAAATTACAATTGCGTTCTCTTGACGCTTACAGACGGTGCCAATTTGGCAGTCAAATAAAAATAATAACCTGAAAAGAAAATAAAGACAAGATTCTAACTACGAGGCTCTCTAAAATAACTAACTCACCGCGTTTTACAATACCGCTGCTAATTCAGCAGACTTGAAGCTCACTGGAACAATTTCCACTACTTCCCGCCAAGCACACAGGCCGCAACGCGGGGTTCTTCAATTCTCGCTAACTACCTCCGCGCTCGCTAAGTAAGAATATATCACCGAACTCGTTTCCTTCTATTTAAATCATACTACTTCCGCTGATAATTTGAATCCTTGCGCGTCCTACTCAAATTTACATATTCTGGCATTGGCAGTTCCAGGGGAAAGTAAGGCTTGACAGGAAAGATAGTTTAAACTTAAAATAAATATAAACCCTACAAGTTCATAAATTTTAATCATTTCTTTCAAAACGCATGGAAAAATGTAGCAATAACAGTTAAGTAATATCCTTGTTTATAAAAACAAAAGATGTTTTTAAGAGTTTCAGTTGAGTTTACATCAACCGATAGCGCAGATGCTTGGCGCTAAATCGCCCTGTTTGGCGACAATTTCACGGTTGACGGCATAATATGTAAGTACCGATTAAGTTGTTGCTGTTGCATTGCTCTCGTTTGCAAGATTTAGTAATTAAATATATCTTGTTTTAAAAATTTTAATAAAATGTGGATTTGAAAAGTTCTATGAATATTTTTTCTAGGTATCAATGAGGAGAAGAAGGTGGACATTTGTCTTTTAAAATGTGCCATTTTGAAGCGCTAAAGGAGAAAGCTTACTTTCTCACATACTGAAACACGAATTTTATTAACATAATGGCAACTATAAAATGCCAAAAGACCCAGCATATTTTTTCTGCCATTGCTAAGTAGTTAATCAACCGGATAAGAAGAAAAATTGCTTTCTTATTTCCTCCTCCCCCCTTAGTTTCCATTAATATAGGTTTAAGATTGAAATTCCTTATTCTATAGCATTTCCGATTTTCAAAATAACGTAGGAAGCCATTATTTTTCTCATATTCATAACCATTTTTGAAGAATGTTTGGAAAACTTGCAAACAAATGTTGGTAAAATTAAAATCCAGTTTTTTAAACTGAATGTAAAGATCTAAGCCTATGAACAAACCATTCGCATGTCATAGCCATGACGTCACATGTGTGCATCAATATCTGATATTATTTTCTTGTGTATAAAATCTGAAGTTCCAGCTACAAATGAATTCTGAAGTTCATGCAATGCGCTCCACGACAATGAACTAATTTGTAGTCTCTTGGCTATAATGACATTAAAGATATGAATAAAATAACAATTGCAATAGAAAGTGATAAATAATCGAACTGTAATAATTGTGAGGTAGCTTACATCATGATATTTTTGCAATATTGATGCGTTTTATGTGTGTAAATAATATTATTGTTTGCATGTGAATAAAATTTTCATTGTCATGGTGCAAAGACTTTTTATTTCGCCAATTTAAGATATTTCACTTAAAACCAATCTAATTAAATTACATTTACATGACATACATTCAGATTATCTATAAATTCTAAGCGTTACTCTTTATTTAAACACTAAAAAATAAATTAGCTGATCAAATTAGATGTAAATAATGTTATGAATTTTGTAGAGATTTCGTCTCGCCTAATTTTTGTCATCTCGCCAAATTTAATGAGATATCGCCAAAAGTGGCCAAACTTCACGACCATTTGGCGACATTTTGGTACGGTCCCTGTATAACTGTAATGGATATTGTAATTGAATAATTGTAATTGACGCGCTGCGTAATTGTAACCGTATTACAGACATACATGGCTACAGTCCCTGCTAGACAAGACTTTCTGAGAAACGAGATTTTGGTAGCACTGATTTAAGCGGGAGGATTCTTAGAAAAAAGAGCCCGGCCTGAAGCGAAGTCCCGCCTAGCTACGGTAACAATGTTGCGACTACGCTGGATTTTTTCAAACCTCACCGAAAATGTCTCGGCTGGACATCAGTCCCGGGTAGAGATAACAAATCAGACGAAAGTTCTGCTTCTGAAGCAGATGATCCCAATCTGAACGATAACCAATTAGTGTTTGGCGTTCAAGTCTTTGTAGTAAGTGAAAATGGTACGTAAACGTAACCTAGCTACGTGAGTTTCCTGGAATTGTGCGGGTTCTGAGAATTGTCCCTTTCGACCTCAGGTCCCACGTAACTGAAATATAATGTGATTGGGACTTAACGGAAAAGGCTGCTTTGTTTGCCCTTCCTCCTCTTCCAAAAGTAGTAATAGGTTGACAACTGATATACTTTTTACAGCTGCGTAAAGTACCTAAACGATAGAGAGAAAAGTATTTTTTTGCATGAACTAAGAACCGACCTACGGAAAGCGCTTTTATACAATTCTTTTCATTTTGCGCGCATACTAGAAGAGAAGCAAAGAATAAAATTATACTTGAGACAAACCTATTACAATTTTGTGTAATTTTTTTATACTTAATTTATCTAATTTTAATTGGTTATTCGTTCAAAGATTTCAGTTCATCTCCATCTTTTTTCTTCCTCTTTTCCACTCTTTTGTGTGTAACGTGGTTGTGTGGTTAAATTAACTTTTAATTATTAAATTCCATCATCCACTGCGGAGCATACAGAATCAAAATAACCTAGGATTTGAACTCTGAAATCCTTTTTCACTTTTATATACTCGCTTCATTATCGTATTGCAACCAGAGGTCGCTGCTGGTGGCCCTCGAGTGCGCTTTGTGGTACTTACAGTGTTTCGGATCTGCCGCTGTGGATCACTTTGGACTTTTGAGCGGATATGATTGTCTTAGTACCTATTTATTTCGATTTTAACTGAGTAATTCCTATGAATACGTGATGTATGACTCCAGAAAAGGCGTAACTGATGCGTATCGGGGCGAGTGTTATGTACTAAATAATTTTTATTGTATTGTTAAAAGTATTGGAGAGCTCGTTGTCTAATGACCTGTTGGTCAATGGCCTGGAATTTGTTTAATAATTAAAGCAGCTAAACGTTAAAATAGCTGAAAATTGCTATACCGACCATTGTTCAAGTTCTCAAAGAAGTTCCTCCATGAGAGTTTTCGTGATTTTCCCCACGCGTAATGTGGATACGAGCCAGTTCCACATAGCCTCTCAGGAAGGCATTCCTTTCTTTAGGCAAACAGCTTTCGTATGCTTTGCCGTAACCAAAATAATCCAGTCCTAAGCAATGGTTTAAAAGCTACAAAGAGAACAAGAAACAGTTTCAATTAAAAATACCAAGGTTTTAAATGGAATAACATTAATGAAGTTAAAAAAATTATTCTGAAACTATTACAAATTGTTCTTGTTAGCATTTTGTTATTGTGCCACCATATATTTTATATATGTTTTTCATCTTTCGTTATGTCATCATCAATTACTCCAAATCCACGAAGCCGTAAAACGCAACAATATCTTAAAAAAATTTATGATGAAAATCCTGTTCACACCTATTTACATCTAATATGTACAGCGACAAGTCGAAATGATCATTGAAATTTAGGTAAGCATGCTTAGCTAGATAAAGACCTTTCATCTGCTTTAGATGATTTACAATCAAAGAACTGGCGGCAGACAAAATACCCACAAAGTATTATCTGTTGTTTGAATTCTTCCGCAAGACTTACTTTATTACTGAGAGAATTTCCGCAAATTTTAAGGATTTTTTGTTTAATTTTGCCGCATAGTAAATAAAAAAATCACGAATTTTTCTGATTTATATTAAGTTTCGAGATGGTTTCCAATGTTAAAATCCTTTTAATATTTGCCGGCATCCTTGAACAATCCATTTTCGAATGCACACCACGTTACATGATAGCAGATTAGGTCACCGACGACCGAGCGGTGCCGGTGAGCCATCTGTTATCACTGATCACTGGTAGTTTGGCCGGGATTCGAAAAGCAGCGAATGGTCTGGTTGAATGGGTGATTTCGTGATTTTTCCCATGTATAGCATGGTACAAGATAGTTTCACTTCGAAAGTCCTCACCGAAGGCATCCCTCCATTTACGCAGATAGCCCTTGTCTGCTTTGCAGCAATGAAATAAATAACCAAACCAATGATGATAACGGATACCAAATTTAAAAATATCTCTGGGGCGTATAACGTATTAAATTATACTATAAGCTTAAATCAAGATCTTGATTTCTTGTAACGGTTCTATTAACGCTGGCAAATCTTGATTGTTTGAAAATAAATATAACTTAATGCGTCGTTATCTAACAGATTCTTTGAAAGAAAGTGGAAGTGGAAATCCTCGGCAGCGAAATATTCCCCGAATTTCACGATTTATCTCTCGAGATGTTCCTCAATTTCCAGTTATGCCATCCTTCCGACGATTAAATAACTTATACTCTGTAATACCAGAAAAATTATTGAAATATTCAACAAGAATTGTCATATCATCATCATTGAAGAGGCAAAATTTACGTACTTTAACGAACCTCTGTATTAAAATAACACAGTATCCCTAATATTTGAAGACCATTTTAAATCCATTTTAGTTGTGCTTAATGTCAATGCATTCAATCAGGACTTAATTTCTAAAATTAGAAGAACCAGAGCCCTACCGTAGACCCTCAGGAAAGAGGAATAAGAAAAAATAAATTAATAAAATCATTAATCATTAAAATAATTAATAATTAAAGTGATTATAATTAAAGAAATATATTAAAATTTTTATTTCTTTAGTGATTTTAAACATGTAATTTAATTATTAAATTAAATTTATTATATATTAGATTATTAGTCCAAAGGAGCTTTGTCCCTGAAGGACTATTGTTTTCATTTTGCGATTTTGCGTCGAATCACTCTGAATGTCCGTTTCACTTTTCAAACGGTTACCACCAAATATTATCGCCCTGTATTATATTTGAAGAAACTAAATAATGATGAATCTGCATAAATGTATGTATGTTTTTCGCATTGTGAGAAAACAATATCATTACAAATAGCATCATGATCTACATCATCTAATTTACAGGAATCATTGTCATCAAGGCTACTCTTTTATAAATTTTGGTTTCCATTCAACCAAATAAAGAGTGACTAAATTATTCCTCCCACTGCAAATCACAACCCATTTCCTCAGTGGTAGACCTTGAAAATAACTTTTTGAATTTCCCATATCAATCATTAGTCTAACTTTACGCCCTTTATTCTTAACCTGAATTTTAAAAGCCAGACTCTGAAGAAAAACTTCATTCATAGCACGGGAATGCAAAGAACCGATTTTTTTCTCTTTTTTCTCATCATTTTCCTGCTTATGCATGTCACTATATTTCTTAGATTTAAAACTAGAACGAAAATATTTTAAATGTCTTTTTGAACAGATCTAACACTCAACACTACAATATTAGAATTCAATCATTCAGCAAAGATGACTTTCGCACAGTATAGGATTACCTTAAAAAACAACCAATTCCTTTTCATACGTTTTTACTGACCAGAGAGGAAAATTTTAAATCCGTTATCAAAGGACTTACTGTTCATACTCCAATAGATGAAATTAAGCCAAAATATTACAATACTCGAATTACATCAACTTCCACGAGTGTGGAATGGCGTAAATATGCTTCCAGTTTTTTTTTTTTTTTTTTAAATCTGGAAACTCATCGTAATGCAGTGGAAAAAAGAAGTTTTTAACGTAACACATATTTCCGGTATGAGAGTCTACATTGTAGGTTATAAGAGCAGACCGGGACCTGTACGGTGTTTCCTGTATCAACGATACGGCCACACACAGAAAGCCTGCTTTATTATTCTTAGATCTGTTCTGTGCCTGGAAACTCATCAATTATATCAATGCACAATTAAACGAAAAGCAGAAATTCCCGCAAGATGTGTGTTACGAAGAACACAGAAAATATATAAATCAAATATATTCAAAACAGTTCGTTCAGTTGCGGGCCTGCCTCTACCCGAGGCTGGGTGCATTATGAATAAAGACAAAAAATTCTTAATAAGTCATTCTTTATTTCCATCAAAACAGTATCACTCTTCCGAGATCAGCTTTCGTTCGTCTACAAACAAAACATTCGAAACACTCAGCACGCAGGCTGACGTCACAAACAGCAGCGCCTCGCGCCGGTTATTACTTCAGTTCTTTTCACAACATCCTCCCCCCCCCTTGAGACTCAGGTTGAGTCTCAAACTCATAACAAACATTATTTAAAAGATCAAGTCTTTTTGGAGCTTTTACAAGTCGTCCAGAGGAGGAATATTGTTGCATCACCATTTTATCAGGTGCAATTCCCTTTTTTAACGTACACCCAGCACTAGAATTAGATTCCTCTGCACCCAGTTTCTTATCAGGAATTATGTTTCTATCATTGGACTGTATCTCCAGAGGAAAGATGCGTTGTATTGGTCGTATAACTATTCCATGCCGGGTCTTAAGTTTAACCGTACGAATCTTTCCATC